GGCGCGCTGGGAGCTCCCGCTCACCGTCGTGGCCTACGCAGACCTCTTCGGGGGCTGGACGATGGACGCCGTGGCCCGCAGCACGGCCGGCTCCGGCCGCAGCCGCGCCTGCTGCACCTTCTGCGGGGTGCTGCGACGCCGGGCGCTGGAGGAGGGTGCCCGCCTGGTGGGAGCCACGCACATCGTGACGGGTGAGCGCAGGCGCGCAGCGGGAGGGAGAGGGGCGCATGCGCGGGCGAGGGGCGGGAATTGAAAGGGCGCTGGGGCGCGTGTCCGAGGAGCCGTCAAGGAGACTCTGGGTGTGCCCTAGGTGGAAGATCTCAGTAAGGAGAAGTGTGCATGCCCACTGAAGGTCATGGGCACAGTACGTGCGCGTCCCTAGGATGGGCGTGGCAACTTTTTAAGTCACTGCCATCATCTTGCTCACGCACACTGGCGAATAGAGGGGTGGAGGGGTACTCTCTAGGGGCTAGAGCTGTGGTTCCCTGCCTTTTTAAGAAAATGACATTCTTTGTATCTCCCTCCATAAAAGGCGGGGTGTGAAGGGATATCTCCCATCAGAAGCCATCTCTGAAGCGCACGGCGTCTTTTAGCTCCTCTCTATCTGCTTCTCCTCTCTGATAACTCGCTTACTCCGTCCCAAACATTACTGCAACAAATAATTACTGACTATATACTGTGTACCAGATACAAGCCATGTAGCCATGAGCAAATGACCTAATCTCGCTTTCCTCTTCTGTAAAATGGGGATAGTAGTAGTATCTAGGTCCTGGCGTTGCTGGGAATTGGATGAGTTATGTGTGAAGCGCTTAGAGACTGGAAAACAGTAAACATACAAATGTTTGCCCTTATAATGATGCACAAGACAGACAGTCTCTGCTCCCGCCCATTTCTCACATTCATAATTATAACCCAAGTGCTACTAAGGAAAGTTACACAGACTTTGGGAGTTTGTAACAGGAGGACCTAGTGCAGGGAGAAAGGTGGGGATTGAGGAAGCATTTCCTGAGTGAGCTGAGCCCCAAAGGCCGTGTGAGTGACAGGTGAAGGCTGAATAGGAGGTGGGAGACGTGTTCTGAGCAGAGGAAACGGCTCATGCAAAGGTCCTGAGGAGGGCAAGCAGGGCCAGTTTGAGAAGCCCTAAGAAGACCAGTGTTTTACTATATAGACTCAAGGATAAGATGACAAGACGCAGGATGGGTAGAGATTTAGCTTAAATTTTACGGTGACTCTCGTGTAAATATTCCCTCACTTTCTCCCTGGTCTTTCTAAACACGCTGATCTGCATCCCCAGAGGCGCTTCTGTCAACAGCTCACTTGAGAGTCTCCATTAAGTGCCATTTTGACTCCTGTGCAGTCTGGAGGACACTCTCAACTGAGGCTGCAATGATCTTGGTGGCGTGAAGCCCTGTTCCTCACTAGGTGAAAGGGCAGCCAGCACAGGGCCTGGTTTGCAATAAGTGGGTGGCAACTGAGGGCACCCCCAAGGTGCTCCTCGGAGCCTGTGTCCCCTCTCATTTCTCGCTGTGTCCACCTTCAGCCTCCACCTGGCTGTCCCATGGTGCCCGGGGGTTGTCATGGCGGGTCACCCACTCTGTGCCATTCTCCAGGCCCCCTCCCTGTCTCTCTGGGTCCTGACTGCCCCGCGGTCCCCGGGGTCTCCATGACCTGCACCCCTTGCTCCTACCTGATCCTGCTCCCAGTCTCTCGCTAGGTCCTGGCTGCCCCACAGCGTGGGGGGGTGGGGGGACGTGGTCTCCATGGCCCGGTCACCCACTCCGTGCACACCACTCGCCACCCCCGCCCTCACGTCTGTCTCTGGGGCCTGGCTGCACCACGGTGCCCCGGGGTCTCCATGACCAGCAACGCCCCCCGCCCCCGCCTCACCTGCTCCCCCTCTCTCTCCCCCCAGGCCACAACGCGGACGACATGGCGGAGACGGTGCTCATGAACTTCCTGCGGGGCGACGCGGCGCGGCTGGCCCGGGGCGGGGGCCTGGGCTCGCCGGGCGAGGGGGGCGCCCTGCCGCGCTGCCGCCCGCTGCAGCTGGCCTCGCAGAAGGAGGTGGTGCTGTACGCGCACTTCCGCCGCCTCGACTACTTCTCCGAGGAGTGCGTCTACGCGCCCGAGGCCTTCCGCGGCCACGCGCGCCACCTGCTCAAGCTCCTGGAGGCGGCGCGGCCGTCGGCGGTGCTGGACCTCGTGCACTCGGCCGAGCGCCTGGCGCTGGCCCCGGCC